CATAAATATAAAAATTTGTAAAAAATAATTATGATATATATTTATACTTTTAAAAATTATATATAAAATTTTTAATATTATAAATATATAAATAATTATTATCTCACTATCTAAAATTTATGAATCCGTCACTGTTTGTGCATATAATATTATTAAGAAGAAATATATATTCTTGTGCTTTTGTTTCCAAAAAGAGATGGATAAATCGATTTTTATGACGTGAGAATAACATTATATATGTAAAAAAAAGTATCTTTCTAATTTCCTTCGGACTTCACTTTATAGAAAGAGTTAATCAATTATACACTGTCAGTATAAAGTTTTTTTACACTAACAGTCAATCAGAGCCGTTAATAGTACCTTTTCATCTGCTCATTTAATTAAATTAAAATAAAAAAGACACTATTAACAATTCTGATTGACTGTCAGTGTAAAAAACTTTACACTTATAGAAATACTTTCAACATTAACCAAATAAAAGTTATTTCAAAAATAAAAATTGATAACTTAAAATGAATGATTTCCAAATCAGGTACAAAATCATAAAATTTGTGAGGAGTCATGCCATGTTTGTTAATTGTTATGCTTGACTAAAACATCAATAACCAAATTAGCCTATCATGACCTTCAGGAAACATAAGCATAATAAAGTGAAATAAAAGACGAGAGAAATTATGGAATAATTAAGATAAGATTAGTTCCGAGACAAATTATATGATGGAAAACTTAAAAATATCTCCCAATATGAAATTAAGTGTGTATTTGTTTTAACATTTTTAATATTCAAATTTATGTCTAACTCAATTCACTCACACTCGTATTTTTAATAGAAAATAAAAAAGGTATTATTTATTTATTTATTTTATTTACTTATTTATTATTTATTTATACGAGATTTGGGGCAAAGTTATATTTAAGTGAGTCGCGCTTCTTTATAACGCATTCAAGTTGCTTCTTTCACACTCTTCCAGCTCCGATGGACTTAACCCAAGACTCTCACTACCTCTTGTCGGAGCAGCGCCGCGAGCTCGCCGCCGCGGAGGCCGCCGAATCCGACCTCGACTTCGCCTTCCGCCTCCAGTTACAGGAGGCCCTCGCCGCCTCCCTCGCCATGCAACCCTCCTCCTCTTCCTCCGCCGCCGCAATGAAAGAACCCATGGTCGTCGACGACGACGGCGGCGCCCTGAGCGCGGCGGCGCTCCAGCGCGAGGAGCTTTCGCGCACGGAGCTCGAAATGAGGGACCGCGAACAGAGCGAGATGGAGATGCGGAAGACGAGGGAGGATCTGAGCCGTCTGATCCACGATCAGAAGGTGGCGAGGGAGATCTCATCGATTCCCGAGAGGGAGTGGGTGCAGTGGGGCGATAACTTCGAGAAACCGTTCGGCGAGGGTGGTTCCTCTTCCTCGGGAAATGTAGGGGAAGGTGTGGCTAGGGTTTACTTCAAGGGTTCAGTGAGTGTGGAGAATGTGAGGGGCGAGAGGGTCGTGTTTGCTGGGATTGGTGTTGCGATTTGTGACATTGCTGGTAATTCATTATTCGAGGTTTCTAAGCCGATTGCTGGGAGTGGCACTAGCAAGGTCGCGGCAGAGATTAAGGCTTTGATTGAAGCTTTGGATGCCGCCATTTCTTTGGACTTGAGGCGCGTCGATTATTGTTGCGATTATTACCCCCTTTTCCAATTTGTGAGTCCATGCTAACGATCATTGCTTAATTGTGGGTTGAATATGCTTCTAAACTATTTAGTAGTCCTCGTTTAGTTGTGAGATAACTTGTTGTGAGATAACTTACCCGTTAAATATGCATGGTTAGGGGATTCGAACCTTGGTTTGTGCGCTTGGAAAAACAATTGTTGGAAGAGGCCTATCTCTTTAATCAATCTCAGACTCTCAGTATCTTGAGGAATTAATCCTTAATTTCCTACAAGGGGATACCTTGGTTTACCAAAATGAAAAAGGAGACATTTTTTGTGACTTTCTAACACATTTTTATAAATGATGGATAAAAAAAAAGAGATGATTTATTTTTTAGAGATTAAAAATATATTTAATTCTTTAATTGTTTAATTGATTTGGAGTGTCTGGTGTTATAAAAACTGTGGTTATTTGTAGGGTATAGATCACGTGTGTTTGGACCATGATGTGGCTTAGATTATATTTTGTTTGTTGCATGGGTTTAAGATGATGAGAATGAATGAGTGAGGATATGATGATGACGATGATATGTTTTCTTGTGGTGGGTTTTGATATCTTGTGTTGCTGGTCAGGTGAATGGGAAGTGGCCTGCAAGGCAGCGGAAGATTGCTATGCTGCTTAATAAAGTGAATCTGCTTCAAAGGGAGTTTACGTACTGTAATCCGAGGCTTGTGACCAGACGTGATGTCAAGTTTGTGTTTAAGCTTGCAAGAGATGCGATTGTGTCTCAGTTCACGAGGCCTCTGGAATCTGGGAGTGGGAGTCTGAATGATACTTGTGTTATCTGTTTGGAGGATACTGATGAGAGTCAGTTTTTTTCTGTTGATGGTTGTCAACACCGCTATTGCTTTTCTTGCATGAAACAACATGTGGAGGTGAAGTTGCTTCATGGAATGGTGCCAAAATGTCCTCATGAGGGGTGCAAGTATGAGCTTCTAGTTGACAGCTGCCAGAAGTTCTTAACACCTAAGTTAAGTGAGACCATGCGGCAACAAAAATTGGAAGCTTCAATTCCTTTTGCTGAAAGAATTTATTGCCCTTATCCAAGATGCTCTGTATTAATGTCAAAAACTGGGGTCATAGAGTACTCCAGAAATCTTATCGGTCAATCTGAACAATTAGGGCCCATGAAATGCATAAAATGTCATGGTCTTTTCTGTTTCAACTGCAAGGTCCCTTGGCACAGTGGTATGACATGTTTTACTTACAAAAGGTTGAATCCTAACCCTCCTGCAGAAGATTTGAAGCTGAAGTCTTTGGCATCAAGGAGCCTATGGCGGCAATGTGTGAAGTGCAACCATATGATTGAACTTGCGGAAGGTTGCTACCACATGACTTGCAGGTACGGTAATAATCTTTGTTAGTTTTAACCTGTTTTATAATCATCCTTCTTCTAGAATCTCTTTTCTTTCTATTACTTTTCCTAGCAATAGAAAGTGAGCATACACAATTTCCTGTAGGCATAACTGTTAGCAATTAACCTAACATTGAGTTATATTATATGAGAAGCAAGAGAAGCTGGATAGGTGATGTGTAATCTTTAATTCACCAACTGTAGCTTAAAACATAGATACATACATATATATATATATATATATATATATAT